GATAGTTTGATTGATCATTTGCCATCCTTAGTTCGAAACTTGATCACCTAAGATCTAATCCCTACTCCCATGAGTTCTCCTTTCTCTTAATCAAAGAAGTTATTTTAATTATCGCTTTTCTTATTCTTAGTTATAGTTTAAAACCATCAATTATTTGATTGCACTTAGATTAAGCTAGTACTTGCATTCTCAGTGCTTTAAAAATCCCTCATAACTGGTTCGACAATCTCTTATACTACACATTTGTCTTAGGAGCCTTGAAAACTCCTAACATCAATCATTATCAACATATATTCTCATAATTATCCTCCTCCTATAAAAGGGCATTTGAGAACATAGTATCAAAGATCAGCGTCTTGACATGGGAGCAGAAAGGTAAAGCGAAGCTTGGCCGCGAGGAACCAAAGCCCAAATGTCAAGAATCCACTTCAGACCCTTAGTTGAAATCAGCTGTGCAGCGGCTCTTTTACAAAAGTAAACAAGGAAGAAAACAGAGTATAATTGCAGGCAGTGATGAAAGTTTGTACGGACAAGAGTAACGTGAGGGATATAGAGAGAAGTTAGAGAAGAGAGAGAAAAGACCAAAAGCTTCCGACTGTGGTTTTCATCTCCGTCCGGTGCTGGTGGGCTTTCTCAGTCACGGCGTCGGTTGGCATCTGTTGTTTCTTTTCTTTTCGCTGTTAGTTTTTTACATAGGTTTAGGTTTCGGTGTCGTCACCTTCGTTACGGTGAGGCGTCTGACTTTTGTTTCTGGGATGTGGTGGCTTACCTAGGACCTTGAATCGGCGGCTTTTGTTTCTAGCGCCGCACCAGTGTCTTTGGGTAGGGTTTCTAGCTATGGTTATAACTAGATAGTGGGTATCGGGTAAGGTTCTCTCGTCTTCGATGTCTGTCTTCGTTATCGGTGGAAGCGACCTCGAATTGGTTCGATTGATGCTTTCCGGTGAAGAGGATAAAGTAGCGAAAAAGGAAGAGAAGGTTGTGGTGTTAACGTCGCCAATGGTTCTTTGATAAGATCTGGATGAGATCTCGAGACTGACTCGATGATGCTCTCCGGTGAAAAAATGGTGGCGACGATGACAGTTTGCGGTGGCTCTGACTCCGGCGTGCTCCGGCGAAACATTTGGTGTTTCGTTTTTCTCCGGTGACGGCCTCGGCTTTTGGATCATGAAGCGGTAATAGGATGACAGGGTGACGCGTGTCCTAGGGAGTGTTTAGGCTTCAACACGTGGGCGGCCACATGCGGTCTTGGGACGCGTGGTTTGGGTGACACCGCATGGGTTTCGGATTGGGTTTTTAAGCCCAAGTTCTAGTGTACCCTTTATGTCGGGCAGTTTCTTGTCCTTTATGTTGGGCTTTTATGTTATGTAAGTTTTCTGGGCTTTGACCCATTTAATAAAATAATAGAAGGCAAAAAAAAAAAAGTTTGTACGGACAATCATGATGGCTTAAAGCTGTCAAATTGTTTTGCAACCCTTGATCTCTAGAGACAATGTGATCTTAACACTTGTCTAAAGCTCCTAAATATTTTTTTATCATTTTGTATAAATATGATCTTGATTTAACGTTATGACCATGAGAAATGAAATACAGGTAGTTGTTTATAAATTCATTAAAATACGTTAAATTGTTTTCTGAGCATCTACAGTAGAACTTTTATAAATTAATACTCAATAAATTAATATACACTAAATATCTCTATAAATTAATATAATTTATAGTCCCAAATTGAGTTTTTGGTTCAATTAGTATATTTATAAATTAATATCTTTCTAAATTAATAAAAAAAATAAAATTTTGGTGTAGTCCCAACATTATTAATTTATAGAGGTTTCACTGTATATCTTATATACATACATCACAAAGACGAACTGGTAAATAAAATCAATGATCATATACAACACATAATTTAAAAGATACAACTGTAGTGCAGAATTTTTTGGTGATATAAACCCAATAATCTTCTAAACACTATAAATTCGTGTATACCACCAGATGGCTAAGTGTATATATATATATGTGTATATGTTGTATAATCAAAGCAAGGCCAAAACTGAGAATAAGTAGAAGAATGAAAGCGAGAGCGAGAGAGAATTGCAAGAGGAAGACGAGGTGCTTGGTCTTTGAGATGGTATGTTAGTAGCCTCTGGCTCAAACGAAGAAGCTGGCGGTCTCGCCGATGAAGAAGAACGGTTTGATGGAAGCACCCTAGCCGAGGTCTCACCTGTGTAACCTTAGCCATGAAATGAACACATATTAGAGATAATAATATGATCTGCAAGGAAAAAGAGTTGATAAAGAACTCACAATCAGATTCTTTCCATCCAAGAACCAGTTTCTCACGATCAAAGACGACACGGTATCCAGTCATGAAATTCTCTGCAAATTGTAAGAAACCAATAAAGTCAATAAAGATCTTGCATTGTGAGTTTATAAAGACAGCATGTTTTAATTGATATTTACGTCCAATGATGCTAATGTCTTCGATCTTCATGACGCCTAAACAGTAGACATCTGTGTCCTGAAAACATTTCAAAGACGGTTAAGTCTAGTGGCAGACAAGGGAAAGAGTTGAGGTGTAATAACAGAGCTGACCTTCATGGGAAGAACTACTAAGGGGTGATAAACAGGATATGAGCCGCCGCCTTTCATTGTCAGATTCACAGCTGGATACTGGAAGCTATCTTTGTTTGGGCTGCAAATATATATACGCAATAGTCATTAGCTACAGTCTAGAGAGAATCACAGAGAAAAATGACTAGAGTATAGAGGCAACCTTAATGCATAACAGTACTCGAAAGGCAACTCAGAATCAGTCTGATAACGTTTGTCCAGAGCTAGAGAATTAAACTGCAAGATCATATCAGGTTCATCACGCCGCGTACTTACTACCAAACTAAGATCATATACTATATATACAAGATAAAGACTTACACTTTCTGTAATCAGGGTGTAAGCTTCAGTAGTCAGATAAGTGAAGGAGGTTCCAGAGTCGAAAACAGCATCAAACTCAAGATCTCCCGTGTTTCCTCCAACGCTTATTTGAGTGACGGTGATGTTGTAAGTAGGACTAGATAACAGGAAAAAACAATGCAATGATAACTAGAAGTATATTCAAGAACATGGACAAGTTTGGTTAAGCATTAAGATGATATCATTGACTGCTTGCTTACTGTGGTTGTCTTATGTTCAATGGTGTTTCTCGTTGGTCCACGCTACCTTTATCTCCAAAACTGATCCTACCAGCTCCATCGTTCCCGAAACACATGGAGAACGAGTTTGCTGCGATTCCTTCCTTTGCTAATACGCTAGGAACCGATATGTCTTCTAAGCCAAGCCCGAAAAGACCATTTGGAGCTGCACCATCATGGAATACACCGGTCTGAACTTGACCACATCTGCTCCAGCACATAAAGGTTTTAGTAATAGATAGTTTGATCTGCAAGGAAAGAAGTTACTTTACCCAAAGGTAACGCGAGCGGGAATAGCTTTGGCGTTTTTCTCATTTGAAACCAAGTGAAGCACATCTTCAACCAATACTCCAGTAGAAGAGGTACCGTTTGAAAGATACCGAATCTGGTATGGGCAATTACTATTTGGGGAAGCGCATCGATCACCTCTTGTACATAAAGAGCTATTACATGGAACTTTAGCACTTGTTGACGATGCATTAGGGCTATAAATATTGAGCTCCAAGCTCTGTTCAACCGAAATAATACAAAAATACTTAGTTTAGGAACCCATCAATTTGAAAATGTTTAAAGAGACAGCACATTAGAAATCACTATTATATTAAAACTAGTTCATGTAGAGAAATGTCAGTGTTTGAAGACTTGGTCAACCAAGAGCTGCCTAAGTCAGATTTCTATCCTAATGCCCGCCCTCAGATTTTGGGGGCTGTAGGTGATTTAATAAAGATTTCAATAAGAAAAATCCTTTTATAGATTTTGGAGCCTATTGCTATGTAATTTTCATTAAAAAAAAAAAAAAACTGAAGGCTTGAGGTGAATATTTCATTTGACTTTGCCCAGGACTGGCCCTGCCTATAATAGATCTTAGATCTCAACAACACAAGTAAACTGAAACCTCATTTTAGAACACAACCCATCAGATTATTCCAAATATCAACCAAAAAGAACTCAAGAGAAAAAAATGATACATAAGCAAAAGGAAACAGTACCGAGCCACCAGGTGCTTTGAGTTCACGAACACAATTGGTACAATCACAGGGCAACCAAAACAAGTCACTTCCAGTGTCTAAAGCAACCAGAAACCAATCAGAGGGCGTCCCGACCGTCACATTCGCGTAATGCAAACTGTACAAAAAAAAAAAAATATATCTTCAACTCTCACAACAATTCACAGGTAAGTAATCACGTTAAGCTATAAAGAAAGGAGGAAAGTGTTATGTTACAATCCTAGGGCGTCGACACGAGCAGTTTCATTGCCGTCAGCGAAACTGACGAGGGATTGATCTTCAGTCGCCAGCCTACGCCCTCTGATCACTCTGTCTCGATGAGCCATCACTCTGTAATACTGAGGAGAGTCTCGACTAGGCAACCCATCTCCGGGAAAAACCCCAACGACCCGATCCGAGAAACGGTGGTGAAATTCAAACCCGAATTCCCCAAAGCCTTGAGCTTTATCCAAAACCCAGCTCGAAATCACCATAATAATCAGACCCAGAAGCATAATTCTACAGCTCGAGTACAAAACCATGGCGCCGAGATCTCGGAAACTTTCTTAAAGAAAAAGGTCGAAACTTTCCGAGAATTCGATAACGAAAGAGATCAAAAGGGCGTGATGTGAGTTTTGATACGAAACCGAGGAATTAGGCAAGAAGGAAGGATCGTGGAGGAGGAGGAGGAGGAGGAAGCTAAGAAGCTCCTCTTTTGTATTATGATGAGCTTTCTAGTCAGTTTCTTTACCAAATTATATTACCAAAAAAGAACAAAAAAATCATCATTTCAAGTCAATTTTATTTTCCTCGGAAAATTATAAAAATGTTTAGTATAAAGGTGGCAGGTAACTTTCCTTCTCTGCCTCAGAAATGGCAATAGTCAACGTCGAAGTCGTCGATGTGGGGCCTGAAGTCATATGTGTGGAATATTCAAACAATGTGTAAACATTTTAATCGATTGCTAATGAACAATTACGCCATTTACGCCATTCTTATTGTTGTATATTTTGTCAACACGTCACTGAATTATTTAAAGATTGATATTGGTATATTGTTGGACAACTTTTCGTTTTCTTCTCTATCTTTGTTGGTGTGTAAACCCCTAACTAATTAAGTCCAGTTAACAATAATTCAAAGATAGAATAACCTCTCTCTCAAATCCTTTCTATAGAAAATATTTTTTCATTGTGCTAGGGTTGTCGACGGCCTCCCTATTTCTTTTTCCCTTCCCTTCGTCTCTCCTCTCCGTCCTCCTCTCTGCTTCCTTTTTCGGTACATCTGCTTCTTTGCGCCTTCGCATGGGATAGATCTGACGCGTCGGTCTCAGATCTCTAGAGAAGCATGGCGGAGGAATGGATGACCGGTTCCTTTGGGCGCGTGGAGTGGTGGAGGTTGCGGTCTCGTGTCAGATCGGGACTTTGGTAGTGAGATCTATCTCCTTCCTTTTTTGTTTTCTCTGTTCGTTCTTCTCCAATGGATGAATGGGTCGCTTGGCTGGATGCGTCTTGGGGTCCTTTAGGCGATGAAGCTGCGGTGCTTCTTCTTCTTTTCTGGTGTGTCTCTGTTGGTGCGTCTTTGGGCCGGTCAACCTCTCTCACGGAAGCTTCTCTGAGTTGTTGTTGTTTCCAAGCCAGATTGATCAACGGCGGGTTCTCCGTCGTCAAGGCGTGTGCGAGGAGAATAGCTGTCGTTCTTGTCAACTGCGGTTAGGCTTTTCGGTGGCGCGTGTGCTGAAGCAGCATGATTCTTGGATTGATCTAGGGCTTCCTCAGGTCCACCTCGCTTTAGGGTGTAGGTTGATGTTTCTATCGTCTTGGTGCAGGTTCGATGGCATGTGGCGGCTCGTGGTTGCTTCCTCTCCAAATAAAGCTCGACCTTCTTTATTCTGGTGTCCTTGGTCACGAGTGTAACAGTTTGCTCTTGTTTGGCCGCGGATTAGGTGGATTTAGCAAGCTTTTTTTGAGAATCCGATCTTATAGTGTTGGTCAATGGGGAGGCCAAAATTACTGGGTCCAATCTCTCGTTTTAACTGCGGGTTTGATTCTGTGGCAAGCGAATGTTCGGCCTCTGATGTTTACTTTTTGATGTTGTTGTTATTCTTGTAGATAGGTTCTGTAATGTTTGGTCTGAGTCTCTGTTAGATTTATTTATGTTGCTCTGTTTCTTGTCTTTTTCGTATGTCAATAAAAAGTTGAAAAATTGATATTAATGTTAACATGTTTACCACAAAAAAATTCAAACATAGAAACGAATAGTTATAAAAGAAGAAAAGTATGAATTAATTAGAGTCAGTTTTGCATTCAGTACACGTGTATTTAGAGGCGGTTCTTGGGCCAAGCCAAAGAGGCAGTGGCTTCCGGCCGATTAATTATAACATCAATTTCGGCCACAAAATTTCAAAAGATCACTTTGGTCAAGTCGTAAATTATCATGGCTACTAACTTCTCATGCCCCCAACCTAGGTTCGAATAGCAGACAGAGGCCTTTCTTTATATATTTTCTTCTAGCCTAAGACTTTTTAGGACCGGCGCTGCGTGTACTGAATGACGTAGTTAAATTAAATGAATGCCCTAACTCTGTTTATTTAAATGCTAATAGGTTATGATATTACAAACATTATAAATACGATTTTATAGTTGACAAATCTACTTATCTTAAGAGGATTTACGTTTGCTTTACTCACAATGCTGTGAAGTTTATTTTTGACAGTATTTTTTACATAATGATAAAAATTTCATATATCATTTTCTAATATTTTACACTAATGAAAATTGAGTTTCTTTTTAAAATGACTCAAAAAATCAAGTCAAACACAAAATTAACATTATTTGTTTTGGATATTTTATTTGCTTTATCCACCCAGAAGTTCTGATTATCCACAAAAATGTTTTTTTTTTTAAAATCCTTATCTTCATCAATTAATCACGAAAATACGATTGCAATCAATTCACCCAACAACCATGAACAACCAAAATGAAGCTCTTAATGCATCTAAAAATGAAATTTAGTCATTCATTCTTATATATTATGCCTAAAACCCACATCTCTCTCACTTTCTATCTATATTCATCCAAACAAATCCAAGCTTTAAAAGGGTCATATAACCATTCAAGCTCACGATTTCGGGTCATTAACGGTTAAGTAGCTGTTTTGGTGAAGTTGTGTGTGCTTAGAGAACTAAGCAAGTTCTCTCAGGGGTTGAAGGTAATAATTGTATTTTTTACTCAGATTTGTTCGCTAAAAGACTTACGCGTAAGTCTTCGTAAGGCTTCTCAGTCGAGAATCTGGTCAAAGAATAGATTAGTTTTATAATTGACTTTCTGTATGTTTTAAGAGAAAACCGTCGTGGAAGTTTTCCAATTTTATTTGTAAGCTAAAAGAAATCGAGAAGACTTACCTATAAGTCTTCTCAGATAAACATATTAGTTTTGCAATTGACAAATCTGTTTAAGAAATTTAACTTTATACGGAAGACTTCTAGGTAAGTCTTCCGCCACCTGGAAGTCTTCTTAACTTTACACTAAGTCTACTCGCTATCCCTAGAAGTATGCGTTGGTTACTCTTGCAATTGAAAATTTCAAACTTAAGACATTTAATTTAAATTGGGAAGACTTACTTGTAAGTCATCCGGCCGAAGATTTACCTGGAAGTCTTCCGGCCGAAGATTTACCTGGAAGTCTTCCGGCCGAAGATTTACTTGGAAGTCTTCCAGATAAATCTTCTGCCGGAAGACTTACCTGGTAAATCTTTTCCAGAAGACTTACCTGGAAGTCTTCTAGATTTTTATTCTGTGATTATGGTAAAACTTAAGGTAATCAAAGAAGAGTTACCTGTAAGTCTTTTGGCGGAAGACTTACCTGAAAGTTTTCTCAAAAAAAAGTCAAATATAGTCAATTGCAAAAGTAACCTACATAGACTTACAACGATAGCGAGTAGACTTAATGTAAAGGGTTAGAAGACTTTCAGGTAAGTCTTCCGGTAGAAGACTTACCTGGAAGTCTTCCGTAGATAGTCAAGTTTCTGACAAAGTAGTTAATTACAAAACTAACTTGTTTATTCGAGTAGGCTTCCACGTAAGTCTTCTAAGGTATTTTGGAGAATTTTTGTATAACAAAAATAAGTCAATATTTACAAAAAAAAAACTTCTAGAGAAGTCTCCTATAGAGGAGACTTCTCTGAAAGTCTTCCTTTGCAAAATTTCAATTACAAAAATGACCTAAATGAAAGATTTATATGGAAGTCTTCCGCCAGAAGACTTACCTGAAAGTCTTCTTGGGGAAGATTTCCAGGTAAGTCTTCTACACAATGTATAGTAAACTTTTATTTTCTTCAAATTTAAAATGAATTTTGAATATTTTATTGTTAATTCGTGTGTTTTACACAATATATGAAGTCATGAATGAAATTCATAACTTAATTGGTGATAATTATGAAGTTACCAACATTCATGTTTTTAATGTTTTTAACTAATCTGAGAAGACTTATTAAGAAGTCTTCCATGTTAAGTTTTGTAAATTTGTATTTTTAAGTATGTTAAATAATTTTAAGATAAGTTTTTTAACTTTCAAAAGTGTTCAATAATTTCAAGAAGATTATAATATGTACATTAAAATGAAGTTGGAAGAGTTAACCTACTCATTATATCCTAGTTGTTTATAATTACAAATTTTATTAGTTTTACTTCTTAAAAGATTTTGTTGGTTTTACTTCTTAGAAGCTAAAAGTGATGAACAACTATTATAAGTTAATGAAAAGAAGTTGTTTATAGTTACAAATTTATATTTTTTTGCAGAGTATAGGAGATCCACTACAAAATGAACATCATATTTTGAATCTGAAGGCCACTGAAGTTTTTTACTTCATTGATTTGTAAAAGTGAAAAACAGATTGTTAGCGTTATATATTATATTTTAAGAAACATCTTTATTGATTTTACAAACATAGATTCATAATTTTATTCTACTTTTGTTTATTTTAATAATGTCAAGCAATTTTGGACGCTAAACATATTTACCATATTTTTCATTATATTTCTTCAAATTTACAAAAACAAATCACAACTAAATAATATACATACAGATCACAAAACAGACCAAAAACAAAATTATTATAGATCATTCCTCCACAAAGACAAGCTTGGACTCCACTTGATATGAGAGAAGACATCAGAAGACTTCCAAGAAAATCTTCTGAACATCTTCTAAATTTTTTCTGTAAGTTTTCCAATATCTGTTTCATATCTGAAAAACCTGCAATAACAAGATAAATTAGTAAGAAAGACATAAGGAAAAAATTGAGAAACTGATATAAAATCATGTGTTTTCATGTTTAAAGAGATTAAAGAGAGGTTAGAAAATTTTAGTTTTTTTAAAAAAAGATAAGAGCTTTATGAAACAACAAATTACTAAATAAAGAAAAATCAAACATGAAAACTTACCAAAATGCTCAGATCTGTTGTGAAAGAGGAAACATGGAAAAAGACTACGTCAGAAGATTTAAAACTACGTCATAAGACTTAATACTATGTCAGAAGACTTAAGACTACCCAGAAGACTTCCAGGAAAGTCTTATGAAAGCCTTCTAATATCTGACTCAGATCTGAAAAAACCTGCATATCCAAAACGTTCTAAGGACATCAAAATAGAGAAAAAAATCAAAAAACAATGTTTTAAGTGTAAATAATAACTAAAACAATCATATTATGTTGAATCTATAACTTATTAGAATCTAATTTATAAAAGACACAGAAAATACATATCAAAAATTTATAGAGATACCTTTAAACGAGTGAAAGATGACAGCTATGTAATGAATAACCTGTAAAAACAAGATAAAATAATGAGAAATAGATAAAAATGAGAAATTGATATAATGTTTGGTGTTATCAAGTTCAAATAGTTTAGAGAGAGATTAAAGAATTTTAGAGTAAGAAATATTACATTTTTGTTGCCTCTATTTGAGAGGAAGAAAAAAAATGTGTAAATTTTTATTTATATAGGAAGACAAAAATTCCAATTAGGTTAAATATTTTCGATATAGAAGAGTTACATGAAAGTCTTCCAAGAAGTTTTCTAGACCCTAAACTTACTATTCGTCCAGAAGACTTACTTTGAAGACTTACTATTTGCCCAGAAGACTAATATTCATCCAGAAGACTTACTATTTACCCAAAAGACTTACTATTCGCCTATAAGACTTACTTTAGGTGGGAAACCTAAATTATTTTAAATTTTTAAGCGGGAAACTGTTGTTAAGTCATCTAGTAAGTTGTCTAATGCATTATATCTTTGAAAATTTAAGTTTTCCAAAACCCTAAAATCAAATATAAAACTAAATCACATACACAAATTTTATTAAACTTAAAATAAACTTATAAAGTGTTTAATATACACAAAACTAAACACATATATGTCAAATTTAGTTTAAAAAATTAGGATTCCACAATCTAACCTTAAAAACACATACAATATTATAACAAAGTTACCAAACCCTAAACAAAAAAATATCATGACTAACTTACATTCACTCATCTATGTTAATAACTATTCAATTTAACTAAATCTAAATTTATATAACTTACAAAGGTCTATAATTAGATGATTATGATTTTTTCCCTATCAAAATATTTTTTTATGAAATTTATAAATTATTTGAAGAACTAATACACTAGAAGACTTTTAGTGGAAGATTTAAGGAAGACTTAATTTTAGGCGGGAAACCTAAATTCTTTTAACATTTTAAGCGAGAAACTGCTGTTAAGTCATCCAGTAAGTCTTATATTCGAAAAAGTCTTCCAAAATCCCAAAATCAAATATATATAACTAAATTACTTACAAAACTTTATTAAACTTAAAATAAACTTATAAAATGGTTAATATACACAAAATTAAACACATATAGGTAAAATTAGTTTTAAAAATAAAAAAGTTAAGATTCCATAATCTAACACTAAAAACGCATACAATACAACAACATAGTTACCAAACCCTAAACCAAAGAATATCATGACCAACTTACATTCACTCATCTATCTTAAAAACTATACAGTTTTATTAAATCTTATTTTACATCATTTATAAATGTCAATAATTACATGATCATGATTTTTTACTAATCAAAATATTTTTATATAATTTATAAATTATTTTTAAGAACTAGAGCATCTAAGACTTACCTGAAAGTCTTCTCAGTCACAAGGTTATAATGGTAAACTATAATCCTATTTTTTGTTTGGTCATGAAGGGATGTTTGTAATTTCACTAGCATTTTGAGTTAATTTTTCTGGTGAATTGGGATACACTTTTTCATTTAAAATCAAGTTTTAAATCATGTATGGCAACTCCCCCATGAAGATTTCACAGTATACTAACTAAGCTATCGATCACAAAGTAAACTATTAATTGTTAGCCGCAGGGTTGGCCATGACCTAAGACGGAGGAAATATTTACCTTGGACTCCAAATCTTTTGAAATAAAATATATGTATATAGGTTCTCAAAAAAAACTTTAAGTCACCAAATCCGTAAAAAAAAACATTTTTATTAGAATTGATTTTGGATTAAGTCTTTTATGAACTGTCTGCTTGGTCTTTTTTATGAAGATCTATTATGGGTCCCGGCCACCCTAGACATGACATCACATAGCTTTCCATCGGATACAGATCTTCAACTACCTTAACTTTGGACAGCTCAATCAATCGGAAACTCGATACTGAACCCTTCACGATACTATTTTCCTGAAACTGAAAGAACTAAGACCATCAGACATATCGATCTATTTCAGTTTCACCTGAAATGGATCTGCTTTAACTTCAAAATAACAAAAAATGCCTCACCTTTTTCATGCAATCTCAACATTGATAACATACTTGTGAATCCTTGGAAGATTTTAAAGCAGAGTTGCAGTATGAATAACGAAATTATTAGATTGTTTATTCGGATGAATCAGCAAAACCCTAGATGTGAAAGGAATGAACGCAAAGGGTCTGTTTTAAAAAAAAAATGTTGATGTACGTGTTATTTTTGTTTTCCTACGCTAATTAGTTATAGTACTAAATGGACCACTCTTTACTTATTTAACGCATTATATTTAGAATTAGCCCAACATATAGGTCCAATCTTGGCCAACGTAATGATTTCAAGCAATCTGTAATGGTTAGGCCTATATGATCAGGATCGAATATTAGTTTCTATCCATTTAAGAGTTGCTATATTGTTTTCAGATATATATATATATATATATATATATATATATATATATATATGTATGTATTCTCAATGTATATGATTCACATAAATATGTTTTATATATTTTTCAAGTGTAGATGATTGTTTTTTATAAAAATTAAGTATACTAAAATATTTGCAAAATATTTTTTTCCAAACAATAATTAATTTTCTCTACGAAAAATGGATTTTGTCGTAATTGATACAAATATACAAATTTAAAAGCTTTGTAACCAAACATATTATTTGTTCAAAAAATACATAAATAATAGAATATATGGATGATTTGTGTCAATATGAATGTTATATATCCACATCTTATATAGAACACAAATGTAATATGTAAAAGTTATGTATCTATATTAATAAATATTGATATCAACTAAAACTTTTCGTAAAAATACATATGAAATAACAAATTAATGTTGATATGAATGTTATATAGAATATATGGATATATATATATATATATATATATATATGGAAGTAAAGATACCGACCGTGCCGGTCATAAGAATAGAATATATGGATGATCCGTGTCAATATGAATGTTGTATATCCATATCTAATATAGTACACAAATGTAATATGGTAAAAGTTATGTATTTATATTAGTAAATATTGATATAAACTATAAATTGTCGGAAAATACACATGCACGAGCGCGGGGTCAAAGGCTAGTAATGATTAAAACTATGATATGTGCCACCCTCCTGTAGTGAAGAATATGACCTGTTACACTGATTTTCAAGATATAGACATAAGGCTTCTGTAATAGACAGAATGTTAAGGGTTTTACTTACATGGAAAATGTTTTTTATGTCACTGGAACTAAAAGATCAATCTGCTTTGGTTTCACTTGTTTCTCAAAATCTGAGCAGCCGTCCCTCCACCATGGAGGAACAACGAGACAGATAAGGAAACCATTATACTGAAAATTAATTTTCTCTCGATATTAGGAACACTGTGAGGATGATGCTTAAGGGATAAGCCTTACCTTCTTATAGGTAATAATCATCGCCTTGAAGATGGATAATATTCATTGAATGCGAGATCATGGTTGTAGTGGGTAGGAAGAGTTACGTTTTCATTAATGATGTTGAATCACTGCGATTTGTAATGGTTCAGAGATGAAGAATCGAGAACAAAACGACATGAATGTTGAATCAATTAATTTTCTCTCGATAGTAGGAACTGTGAGGATGATGCTTAAGGGATAAGCCTTACCTTCTTATAGGTAAGAATCATCGCCTTGAAGATGGATAATATTCATTGAATGCGAGATCATGGTTGTATTGGGTAGGAAGAGTTATGTTCTCATTAATGATGTTGAATCACCTCGATTTGTAATGGTTCAGAGATGAAGAATCGAGAACAAAACGACATGAACGTTGAATCATACACCATTGTTGGTAGACGGAATCTAATCTTAGAAGAGTCAGTAAACCCTAGAAAGCAAATCAAGAAAAAGAGGTGGGCTTAAACTGGTCTTCCTTTTGTTTAGAGAGGGCCCAAATGCAGTTTTAAAATATATGTAAAACCAAATATCCTTGCAATCCCATAATTAAAACAAAAAGCATTCGATTTTCATTTAGAAAAACATGTGTCACGCTCTCATATCTCGAATCGATGTCGTAGATGCATATGAAAGAAAAAAGTCTTCTTTATATATATAATATATATATGATTTCACACTATTTTGGTACGAATTCGATATGTTTCACTGATATTATTTCTTAACATAAAAGAAATAGTTTTACATATTTCGCGACAAAAATGACAACGAATATGAACGGGAGCTCTCACTCTCTCTCTCTCTCTCTTCTCTCCTCTAAATATATCAGAGAGGGGGAGTTTTCTCGTGTTTGGCCAGAAATTTTAGCCCTTTGATACTTGATATGGACCGGTTCTGAACCAAGCCTAATGAAACATTCACTTTAGACCTCTAAAAGTTTTGAAAAAAAATACATTGACAAAGGTCTCCAACCTAATCCTAATTTTTGAATGGATTTTTAAATCCATCAACCCGTGTAATACCCTGGTAATGAATTTGTCAATCCAGTTGTCATGTTCTTGAAGACTTACATGTGCCGCGATGTGGAGTGCCAATGTGACTATTTTCACCATTAGACTGCCTTCTCTAAAGTTTTTCTGTTGCAGACACCAGACTACAGATACGCATATGATATGATCATCTTCGAGACATTTATTTTCATAGGCTTTTATCCAATCATCTCAATATATGTTTATAAACCCCAATGAATGCTTATCCTATTGGCAGTATCTTCTTGATCCTATCTTTCATATCTTGGGATATGGGCATGCCAGCCAGAATGGTTGGATCTAGGTATTTGCATGCTTAAAGATTCACTTAAATTTGAACAGTACCGTCCCGTCCCATTTGACAAACCGCGCCGGTGCTGGAATGAACCGAGCACGGTTTCTGAATGTCTTTTACCAGTCACAAAACAGTGCGTGGTTGTAATAAATTATTGAAGTTATAAAAATTAAGACAGAACATGTAAAGTTACAAAAATCTCAAATAGTTTAAAAGAAAAGGTAGAAGAAAGTTCAAATATCGCTCATGATAAAACACAGCCTTAAACTTCCTAAGGATCATTTCTCACTTCAAAAGGGAAATATAACAATACATCTGTTTGTAACAGTATCCACACAAACTTGTGCTGTCGTGTAAACCTACAAATAATTAACGAAGTTGAAGATAAAAGACTGGATGCCATCTTGAAAATGTCACTAATAGATAGTTCAAGATTTTAAGAGATTACCTCCTCTGTATCTTAGTTTTCTTAAACCTTGAACTCATGGACGTGGAACCATTTCGTGGATGACCATTTGTTTCCTTTCACCACTGGACATCCACCTGAAAAAATCAAAGCAGAAGATATTGAAATTTAGAGACATAATATAATATTCTCACTGAAAGAAAGAAAAAAGAGAGAGAGAGAGAGTTTTTGGCTGTTGAATCTCCTCACCGTGCAAACTGGAAGGGTCTAGAGAGGCATCAGGTCTCATGTTCCAGAAAAGTAAAGCATCTCGCTTCTTTGGTAGTACAGAAAGTCCTTCTTTGCCACATTTCGAGAGCTGGTTCCACCATGGGACTGCACTAATGTTTCCTTTTGCCGCAGGGAACACGGTCTCCCCACCATCATCAACATCCGATCTAAAAAGAAGAATAGAAACACATAAAGAAACTTCTGTGAGAAGAAAAAAAGGGATTATGAGACTCTTTTGGTTACTAACAGGTACATAAGAACAGTGGCTATTCGTTGTCCTCCGTTCTTGGTGTTGAATTCATCTAAGAAATAATCATAGTGAGGCTCATACTTCTGCCCAACTTGGTAGTGAAGAACTTGGAGACCTTCTCCATTTTCTAAAAAAAAAAAAACAGAGATCCACAAAATGATTATCTGAATAGCAACTGCTACTGGTGATCTAAAGATACAAAAATCAAAAGGGAACGTACCAACAGGAATGAAGGTGAAATCTGAAATCCGTTGCTCAATCCTCTCGACAACTTCGTCATGTCCTCTTTTAAGGAAAGTTCCAGAGCTCGTCCTTACTCTGAACAAGGAGGACAAATTAAGAAACAACTAAACCTTGCCAAAGTTTTGAACTAAGAAAGAGGAAAAAGGAAAGAGAACCTGCTATCTTTGCTGCCACCGGTCTTCTCATCAACCACAGTAGACTTAACCATGTTGGGTTTAGCGAGACTGATCAGGTGGTCACATTCTTCATTGGTCTAAAAGAAACAGAAACGAAAGAAAGCCCAAAGAGATCACATCTCAGACATTCCAATAATTAAACATTGTCAATGGGTAAATGAGAGAAAGGTGTGTGTTTCCCTCCCTCTACGCCAAACATTTTCAATGAAAGATTCACAAAATCCTAAACTCTAGTTCACAAGGAAAACAAAGTCAACTCCATCTATCAAATTCTAGGAATGAAATAACTCCAATTTCTCAATAAAGCCATCTTCAACCTAACATTCAAGGAGATGTAAACCTAAACTCAAGTTCCGTGGGATCGCAAGTCAAACGAAATCTCAGCTTAGCATTTGTCTTGCCATACAAGAAAACAACCAGTCTATGAAAGGTTACCAAGAAATTGTGGTAAACAACAGCTCTAGGCTCCCACGAGATCACTTCAACCCAACGCTCCCCGTTCCCTTCCTCATCTCCTCCATAACTGTTACCAACGAAACAGAAAAAAAAAACTCAGCAACCGATTCAGAAATTCAAAAAAAAGAATCGTTAACGACAAACCTCTCCTCCTGGCTCTTGCGTACAATGTTGGTCAAATCGTTGGGCTTGGAAGAGTTTCTGTTGGCATTGGGAAGTGACAAGATCCCCAGACCCAGAAGAATCATAATCACCACCAGCAGACCGATCAGCACCGTGAACGCTTGCGCCGATCGCGATGCTGATTTTCGCGGTTGGTAGCGAAGGTTGTTCTTCGTTTTCGCCGCCATTGTTGATTTCTCTCTCTCTCTCTCTCTCAAGATCTAAATGATTAACATTTAAGAACAAGATGAGTAGTTTACAGAGAAGCTTTGGAGTTTATTTATAAATCTTTATAAAGTATTATTACTGTGTAATTTCGTGTGAGATTGATTCTCTTCTTCGTCGCGTATTTGTTAGATACAGACACTAACTAGTTAGGAAGGTGGCTTTGACTTTTTTTATTCTGACTCACCCCTTTCATTTTCTTATATTCCTTGTTTCCTTCCCAATACTTTTGGTAATCCAGTTGTCACCCCTTATTTGTTTTGTCGATTAGTCTGACATACTTTGCCGATTACTACAATGTCCTCAATTTTATACTCTCTCTCTACCTATATCATTTCTCACATTCTTAGCATACAATAATGGAGTGGTTGGAATACAAAAGTGGCTCTTAATTGCTGGATTATTTTTAGTTGCGAGTGGCAGTAAGAAACATTTCATGATATTTTCTATAAACATTCCAAGGTAAATCATAGGTGAAATAAACTTATAGATAACATTGATTGTTATGGATTTGCTTTGGTAGATGTCCAATATTTATTGGGTGTAAGGATTTAAAGAGGAAATGGAAGTTATAATACCATCTTCAAGCTTTTAAGCGAAATGAATAATGGAAAAATAGCATATTCAATGCAAATATTCTTTGTTTATCTACAAATTGAGAGGTGGTAAGAACATGATAGACATTACCAAAAACATGATCTGGTCACATCTTTAAGCGTTTTTATTTTTCTATCCAAAAAAAAATTGAGGATAGTCAACATTTTCTTTTAGTGGGTATTGTTTATTACAATACCTTAGAGCATCAACATCGCGGTATGTTGAAAGTCTCATAGGGGCGGGCCCACGATTTATCAAAAACCCATCTCTTAAGTATTTTATTATATAATAATAAAGTTTGATTATTCAAAGTTACTAATTAACAAGATTGTGACACATGAAAATTATATATTTATGATTGTGATATATGTTAAACTATTTCATAATTAATATATATATATATAACAAAAACAAGTTTTGTTAACAAAACAATTAGAAATATTATGTAATAGTAATTTCCATTTTAAAAATCCTAAATAAATGATATTTACAAAAATAATATTTGATAGTAATTTTCCATCTAATTGTTTGGCATGTATTAAAATTCTCATGAATAAAAATATATATACTAATATAATACAAAAAAAAATTGAAGAGATTAATTTTAAAAATTGTTTAAAATTAAAAGAAAAAACAGACCCGTGTGTGTTATTAAATTTTTTTAAAAATATTAAATTTATTATTTTATTTTAGTTTTCCTTTCAAAAAAAACGTAAACCAAAAGAATCTTATTATATAAAGCTTGATTATTCAAAATTAATAATTAACAAGGTTGTGACACATGACAATTATATAAACAAGATTGTGATATGTGCCAAACTATTTCACAATTAATATATATATATATATATATATATAAAATGATTTTTTTTAAGAGAAAAAAAACTAAAATATTATGTAATAGTAATTTTTCATTTTAAACTGAATAAATGATATTTACAAAAACAGTATTTAATAGTAATTTTCCATTTAATATTGTGGAATGTATTAAAATTCTCATGATTAAAAATATATATACTAAGATAATAAAAAATAATTTCGAATATATTAGTTTTCAAATTATTTAATATTAAAAGAAAAAAGAAGCTAAATTTTTTTAATTGTAGTTTTCCTTTTTACAAATCCTAAACACAAAGAATTAAAATAAAATAAAAACTAATTTTGAAAATAATAATTTTAAATATTGCTTAAAAGTAAAAAAAAATAGTGTTTAATTGTAATTTTCCTTTTTCTTACAAATCCAAAACAAGAAACTATTCGTAAAATAGATTATTATCAATTTTACTTTACTAAAATCCTTAAAAAAAATTATTTGATAGTAAGTTTCCTATTAGAGTTTTATATATGTAAAAATATATCATATTAAAAAAATATATAAAGAAGAAGATGAAAATGATTTTACAGATAAACATAATTTTTAAATTTTTTTATAGCAATTTTTCTAAACCATTTGCTTTTAAAAAATTTCAAACAAATAAAGATTTGCAAAATAATTTATTTGATACTACTTTTCCTTTTCCAAAATTCCGAATAAAAGGTATTTGAAAAATATTATTTATGCTAAATATTTTATAATAACTGTCCTTTTTCTAAAATCTTGAACATAAAATAATTATAAAAGAGAGTTTAATAGTAGTTATTTTTTTAAATCCTAAACAAAAACAAATTGTAGAATAATTCTTTCAAATATTATTTATGCTCTTATATTCTTAAGCTGGTGATTATTTTTAATATAAATATACTAAGATAAGAAAAACAAAATTTAAAGATATTAATTTTAAGAATTGTTGAAAAGTAGAAAGAATAAGTTAAAAGTGTTTAATTTTAATTTTAATTTTCACGAAGCCTAAACAAAAATATTTAAAATAATAAAAATAAATTTAAAAATAGTATTTTTTAAATATTGTGTAAAAGTAAAAAATAAAATAAAGGTTGTTTAATTGTAGTTTTCTTTTTTTGCAAATCCTAAACAAAAAATAATATTCATAAAGTATATTATTTATTACCAATTGGATTTTCTAAAATTCTAAAGAAAATATTATTGTAAATTATTATTTGATAGTAATTTTTCTTTTAAATTTTGTATATATATGTTAAAATAAATCATGATTAACAATATATATATATACTAAGATGATAAAAGTGATTGTCGACAAAAAGATGATAAAAGCGATTTTACAAATAAAAGTAATTTTAAAAATTAATTAATAGCAATTTTTGTAAACCATTTTCTTTACCAAAATTTAGACAAAAAAATTTCAAAATAATTGATTTGATACTAATTTTCATTTTCTAAAATAATAAAGAAATGGTAAAAAAATATTTGATACTAATTATATTTTTCTAAAATCTTGAACATAAGAAAATTATAAAAGAGTGTCTAATAGTAGTCTTCCATTTTTTCATATCCTAAAGAAATAATATTTGTAGAATAATTATTTCAAATATTTTTTATGTTCTTTGATGCTTAAACTGTGATGATTTTTATAGTTGTTATATGTGACATGATGTTGTACATTAGTTATAGTCATTGCTATACTTAGGTATTTGTATGTTGCATAGATGTTTTGATATTGTATGTAAGTTAATGTGCATATAATGCTTTTTTGTGTTATGCTTTTTTTTTTGAATTTCAAATTACTTATGTTATTGAAGTTAAGTTAATATCAATGTCATTTGTTACCTTTATGTGTCATTTTACTTATGTCTGATTGTTAAATTATTTAATGAAAACACCTATCTGTAAAGATATTAGTGATACGAATTGTAAAATAGTAGTTAATAAAATATTTAATAGTATTGAAATAATTATGTGATAGTACTCTAATTTTCGGTAATTCTGATAGAAGATAATTGTAAATGATTGTATGATTTTATGATAGTAAGCTTTATTTTCTAAAATCTTAAACAAAATGTAAAATAGTATTTGCTAGAATTTTTATATTTTAAGTTATAAATAAAATATTTTATAAAATATAATGTTTTTTTCAAAATCATAAGAAAAAAGAAAATTTTTAAAAATGATTTTATAGTAATTTAAAACATAAAGAATTTGATGATAAACATGATACTAAATCAATTTAATTAACTAAAAAAAAATCAAAATATGATTTTGTCGTGATTGTTCTTTATATTGATATTGTATGTGTTTGGTCATACAAAAAAAAGACATGTTTGGTATATTTTTGTGTTTGGTCATAAAAATAAATTATTATTATTATCAACGTAAATGATTTGTATGTGTTTAGTCAAAAGAAATCATGTTTCATCGTCATCTTATTACATCTGTGTTTTACTATATAGTATTTCTTATCTATTTTATTAGACTATTGTTGTGAAAATATATCATTAAAATGAATTTAGTAAATTATTTAATAATAGACAAATTTAATAAAATGACCTAATTCTTATGAAACAAGTAATTTGAAAATAATTATAAATTAAGTACACCTTAGGAAAAATTATAAATTCAAAAACTAGAAAAAATTAAAGAAATTGTTTGTAATACTACAACTTGAATACCCTTTTTAATACTACATAAAAAGTCCCATAACATCTTAATTTAGGATTTAGTGTGTAGAGCTTAATATTTAAGGGATGAAACTAAGTTTATAAAATTATATAAAAAATCCAAATCATATATATGATATTAGATATCATATATTTAAAATGAAATTAGAAAAATTTCTTAATTACCTCTAAGATCGGCTTCTTAAACCTTATTACAATATATAATAAAATAATTTCTTTATTTATTTGTTTTAAGATTTATCATGACAAATTAAGAAGTGAAAATTATATAATATCGTCATTGACTTGATTGATCTTATTTAACTTTCAATTGTTTTTATTTCACTCTAATTGAACTGGATTTGATTTAAATGTTTAGGTATGAGTATTTTCTTTGGCCTTAGGTACAAATTAAAAACAATTTTACTTATGTGCCATGATTATTAAAATACAAATATTTATCAATATTTATGTGGATAAACAAATTCTAAATTTAAAAATAAATCTCACACAATATATACAAAAATAATCCTAAAATATAAAATAATTTGTTATTTTATCTCCTTTGTAATATTAAAACATCAAATAAAATTTGTGCTTATTAAAATATAAATACTAATCAAAACTTTTATGGAAAACGAATTCTTAATTTCTAAAATAAATCTCACAAAACATATGAAAAAATTATAAAACTATAAAATGAATTATTATTTTTATATTTTATAAATATTAAAACATCAAATAAACACCGTGTAACACACGAGCCCATATCTAGTGCATAATAAAACACGTTTGTTGTGAGTTTTTTACTCTATTTTATAGGCCTTCAATACGTAGCGGCCTGCAATTAGTTTGTTTAATTTTTTTTCTTTTAAATCAGATAAAACAAAAAAAATTAAAAAAAAACGGACGGAAGGGTTCCGCAATGTTGATGCTCTTAGTTGTCAAAGTAATTCAGTTCTTATCAACATAAAGAGAAAATAGATCCATTTCTGATTAGCTTAAAATTTATTACTCATCCCAAATAAATCCAATATTCTCTTTTTTTTTTTTTTGAGCAACCAATCCAATATTCCCTTTTGGTCAGTAATACACAATTTGAGATATACATAAATTGATTGTTCATCTGAGATGTATGAATCTTTAAAAAAAAACACTAAATTTACAATAACCTTATCATCTACTATGGAACAAGAAGAAACTAATGTTCCATAGTAAGATTGATTTTTATTCAACACTTAATCAAACCACACACCAAAGTCCAGATCCATTAACATGGAACACAGCTACACATGAATGTACAAGATACAATCACACACATATATATATATATATATATAGACAAATAAGCATATGAGAATTTGCCAGAGTTAAAAGACATTGAGCGAAGTTGCATAGAGAGGAATGCAAGGCTTGAATGAGAAATAGTTTGGTACATAAGACGAAAACCTCTTTCTCTTGAGTGAATCTACAGATCCAAGAGCCGGCTGGTTCAAGTATGCGTACTTACTCTTCATCCACCTGATAGATGATACACATCAACATTAAAAGTTAGAACCGTGTCATAACATCTCAAATAGCTGAACAAAAAAAAAACGGTGGCTCTTATTCTAGACTCATTATATGGTCCAAGATATTTGAAAAAGAGTAAGATTATACGGAGGAAAATTAAACAGAGACCAGTCTTTAATTCCCTCATGAACTTCAGTTTCTGGATCCTCTATGTCCAAGCTTTCTTCAAAGCGTTTGTAGTCCTCATCCTGCAACAGATACAAAAATTAGAGAATCACCAGCTTCTTGAAAGCATGAGAACATCTGATTATCACTCTTCAATGATCTGATAAACAACACAAGAACTATTAAAACACAAAGGACCTACAGAGAGATTACGGGCCCTGACACGAGCTGCAGCCTTAATAGCAGCAAAGAGATGCTCCTCTTCAACGATCTGCTTCTGCCTCCAGAACTTCTTGATCTGTTTATTGGTTATGCTTTCTCCTTCAACCTTTCTTGATCCATAACCTATTGATGGAGGAAGCGGTGGAGGAGGAGGAGGCGTCAAGGACTTGTTGAAACCCAAGCTCTCAGACTCATCCATAATCTGCTTCTTCATATCCATACCAAGAAACTCACCTTCACAAGCTAAAACACTCTGAAAGCTTTATACACAACACAAAGAGGACAACAAGCTACTAAATCTACAGATTCTGAATCTAACCTTCAAACTAAAGAGATAGATACACCTAAGATTCTTAAGGGTCTACCGAACAATTATCAACGTCTACGTCTACTCTTCTAATTATCTTGTACGTTAAGACAAACTAAATAGCTTAATAACTGTAGAAGATAAAGACAGGTAGATGTAACTTATAATCTTCATTCAGTGATAATGTAAAATATATGGTTTTGGAGCACCTAAGTACATCTTTCAATCACATCCGTTGAAACATGAATGGCAATCAATATCACCAAAGGTCACTTTCATCATGACGCTCGTCCATTAATAAACTAAACTAACTATTGTTAAGCTTTAAGCCGCCAATAGTAATAAAAAAAAAAAAAAAAGAGCTCAACTTTTGAGTTCCTCGTACCAACATTGAACAACTGAATAGTGAATTAGTCCCACAAAAGAAACGAATCGGCCGCCATAACAAGAACTGATGATCGTTGAAGAAAAGATGAAAACTCTCAATATGAACAATCGAGCAAGGAGCAACCATGTGATCCACCAAACTTTACAACATATATGTGTAGTGTATATCAAACAACTATGAGTTCCTCGTACGAACATTGAACTAGTGAATGTGAATAATAAGAAATGAATCAGCCACTTCAAGAAGTGATGATTACTGAAGACGAGATTCACAAATATAAACTATCAAGCGACCATGTGACTCGAATCAAACACAAACACCACCAATATAAATTATAATCACAAATCCAACTCAAGCAACATACTTAATTACATACACATGTGGGTAATATCTCTACGTAAAGCTTGGTGCGTTTATTAGGTCTGGGATGACGAGATCAAAAGGGTCTTGGTTTTGAACCGATAGCGAGGAGCACGAGGAACAACCTGACTCGGACCGAACCCGTACTGGCCTATACCGCCGGTGAGAGGAGGACCATCGTCGTAGATATAACCCACGAGGTGGTTACAGCTATTGCACTTGATCTTGGTCCGTTTGCGTTGGATTCCCCAGTAATTTAGGGTTTCGAAGAAGGGCATGATCTTGTCCTCTTTCTCCAATCTGAATTTATCGGCGTCCACGGCGGCGAAGGAGATGGTTCCTTTGTTACCGGCTTCGAAGTAGAAATCACGAGGAAACATGTCCTTTGGGTTTAGATTTAGATCCGATCCACATTCCTTGCAGCTGTAGATCGTGAACGCCATTTTTCTTATGCTACCTCTCTTCTTCTTTCTTTCTTATTCTTCTTCTCTGTGCGAAATTTGGGACTTTCTCCAGAAACGCGTTTCTTTGGTCAGCGCCGTCGGAACTTACTCGGATTTTCTGTCGGTGTCAAATTCCGCTCATGGGCTTAGTGTAATTTAAATGTGTGGCCCTTCAATAAAATTTTTTCTCACTGATCATGATTATATTTTGTTATAGATCATATTGCGGATTGTCCATAACCAGCTAGGTCCGATTGGTACGGACTTTCGCTTTAGGTTGTTGCTTTAGGATGTTGGCTGTAGAGATTTTTGACTGTTAAAACTGTCAGTATTATTTTAATTATTTAAAATGTCAAGAATAATAATTAAAATCATAAAAATAATAAATAATATTCTAAAATTTTCATTATAAATATAAAATTGTGACAATAATAAAGAAAAAAAATNAAAATTAATATAAAGCAGAATAAGTATTTTAGTTTTTGTGGGGTGGGGTGGAAAACTATTTTTACAATAAAGATAAAAGAAAAAATTGATTTTTGCTTGTAAAGTCACGTGAAAGAAGCTGTAGACTTTTCTTTGAAAAAGAAGAAAGAGAAATGGATAATGGCTTTGAGAACTTTAGAATCCCTAAAATTAGAAAAAGCCTGATTGGTAAAAAATAGACTTTAAGAACTTTAGAATTAAGTCAAAGCCTCTAAAGCCTAACGCCAATCGGACTCATAATTAGCCCGTTCAGTGTAAACTTAGGCGGTTGGTCTTTTTTTTTTCTCTTAAACAGTTAGTTTCTTCTTTTTCCCTATGGAATTAGATTTTGTACTATTTCTTTTTCTTTGTTGGTTTAAGATCTTTGTAATTCTCTATATATAAAGGACATTTTATATTTATGAATAATAAAAACAAGCATTCTCTTTTTTTCTCTCGATTCACAACACATTATTAGCATGAAACCCTAACCGCTGAGTAAAGTTTAAAACCCTTAAGAGCATCTTTATTGTTGTTTCTTACGGAGGGGGGGGGGGTTTACACTAATTACATCATTAAATTAAATGAAAACTAAAAGAAAATCGAAAAACTGATCATAAGTTAATATTATCGTTACCGATCCTTAGGGATAAAGAAGACACATGTGTCAGCATGTGGAGAAACTAAATTTTTTTCTCTCTTTTTTCTTTGTCGGCACCAACCCAATTCTTTGTCTTCTCTCTTGTTTTCTCTGTCTGGTGACGATGGCGTTCTCTCATTTTCTCCGTATGGCCGATGAAGGCGTTCAATTGTTTTTGTTTTCTTTCTTCGTCTTCTCTTGTTTTCTCCCTGAAATCAAAAAGGAAAACAAGCAAGAAGATGATGGCGATGGAAAACGACTACTCTATCTCCTCCGCCGTATCGGTCTTTCAACTTTGCATCAGCAGCCATGGGCGACGCGTTCAAGGAGGAGATAGAAATCGAGAGATCTTGTATCACTCTTTCCCTTCAAGTAGTCATTTGTATCCTTCTATGTTTAAGACATTGATCTGTTTTTGTTTTTGATTTTGCAGGCTGCTGGTGCTTTTTCCATTAAAATTGGTGAGTCTTTCTTTGGGTTCGTTGGACGTGTTTGTTGGATAAGCTTCATGCTTAGACAACAAGTTATCTTGAAGATAAGGATGATAACAAAATAGAAAGAGGATTAGGATAAAGTCTAAGAGTTCCTAGATCAAATTGTAATAGGATAAAGCTAAGGTTTCTATTACTTATATATAGGGATACAATGTAAGAGATATCTCTACAACATTAGAAAGAAAGTTAAGAAAGAAATAATAAAACAAAGCAAACGTTTTATTAAACCCTTGTCTTGATTCTACATACATTCACACAAACAAAGTTAAGACTTTATTTGGTATCAGAGCCAAATTGATTCAAGGCTAAGAGACGAACCATGGGCGATCCAGATTCAAAACCACAAGTTAAGATGAGCTCGTTACCTCCCTCAGTTAAGACGCCAATGCTCACCACGACAAACTACGCCGTATGGGCAATGAGAATGAAGGTTTTGCTGAGATATCATGAAGTATGGGAAACAATAGATCCTGGATCAAAGGAACAGAAGAAGAATGATCTAGCAACTGTTATATTGTTTCAAGGTATACCAGAAAACCTAATTCTTCAAATTGGTGAACAAGAATCACCTAAAGAGATGTGGGATTCCATAAAAGCTATGAATGTTGGTGCTGACCGTGTGATCCAAGCTAGACTGCACACGTTGATGATTGAATTCGACCGTCTATGGATGAAAGACAACGATACTATAGACACGTTTTCAGGAAAATTGTCAGAGTTTGTAGGCACCGTAGCTTCGCTAGTTCAAACGATAGACGAACCAAAACTCGTAAAAAAGTTTATGTCTTGTCTACCAAGTAAGTTCTTGCAAATCTCCGCAACACTCGAACAGGTTCTCGATCTAGACAACACAAAATTTGAAGATGTAGTAGGTCGACTTAAAGCCTTCGAGGAACGCTTGCGCGGTGAAGATAAATTGCGAGGTGAGGAACACGGCAGTCTTCTATATTCTGATCATGGAAATAGAGGAAGAGGAAGAGGTGGTAACAGAGGTCGGGGCAGAGAAAACAGAGGAAGAGGACAAGGAAGAAGCAACACAGTCAAGGAGAAAAGAGATTACTCACAGATTGTTTGTTTTAATTGCAAGAAGAAGGGTCACTTTGCATCTGTTTGCCCGGAGAAGAAGGATGATGATCAAGAATTGAACGTTGCAGAAACAGAGAAGGCTGACAACGCTCTACTTATGCATGAGATTGTTCTCCTCAACGAAGAAAATATTATACCTAAATCTCGAGAAGTTAAAAGGAATGAAGAAGGATTTTGGTACTTAGACAACAGAGCCTCTAACCATATGACTGGTGAAAGAGTATTTTTCTCTGAGCTCAATGAGAAAATCAAAGGCAAAGTCAAGTTTGGGGATGGTTCCTATATTAACATTGAAGGAAAAGGTTCCATCCTATTCGAAGCAAAGACAGGAGAACAGAAACTTATGCCAGATATCTACTATCTCCCTGAGCTTAAGAGTAATATAATAAGTCTAGGACAAGCCACTGAGCAAGGATGCGATATAAGGATGAAGGATGATTATCTTATAATGAAAGACAACAGCAGCAGGTTACTAGCTAAAGTTAAAAGAGGCTCAAATAGATTGTATAAGATATGTCTTAAGATTGGTCAACCTATCTGTCTACATGTTAAGATTGAAGAAGTACCATGGAGATGGCATGCGAGACTTGGCCACATAAGTTTACAGACCATAAAAGCGATGTCAACAAAGGAGATGGTACTCGGTTTACCAGAGATAAAAGGAGACAATCAGCTCTGCGACTCTTGTCTAGTTGGAAAACAAACAAGAATGTCTTTCCCTCAAGCGACAAAGTTCAGATCATCACAAGCACTTGGTCTTCTCCACGCTGATCTGTGTGGTCCAATATCACCAGCCACACTCGCTAATAACAGATTTATATTTGTTATAATAGATGACTGCACAAGGTATATCTGGTCTATGTTGTTGAAAGATAAAGGTGAGGCTTATGAAAAGTTTAAAGCCTTCAAGATGTTTGTTGAGAAGGATGTCAACAAGAGAATTGGTACACTACGTACCGATAGAGGTGGTGAATTCACCTCAGAAAACTTTAATGAATTCTGCAACAACAATGGTATAAGATGTCATCTCACAGCTCCTTATACACCGCAACAAAACGGCATTGTAGAAAGACGCAATCGCACTTTGATGGAGATGACGAGGAGTATGTTGAAAGCAAAAGGAGTACCTAATTATATGTGGGGGGGGGGAAGCAGTTCGACACGCGACATACTTGATCAACAGAGTACCTACACGAGCTTTAAAGGATCAAACTCCATATGAGAGTTTAAAAGGAAGAAAGCCAAATGTTGGTCATATAAGAGTATTCGGCTGTACTGCACATGCAAAAGTTGACTCAGTCCACTTACAGAAACTCGATGATAGATCTCAACTTCTTGTCCATCTCGGCATTGAACCCGGATCTAAAGCCTATAGACTCTACAATCCAAGCACGAGGAGAATAATTGTAAGCAGAGACGTGATCTTTAGTGAGAATGAGTGTTGGAATTGGAAGGGAGTTAACGTGGAGGATCTTGAAGACAGAAGCTCAGGCATGTTTAATTTGACGTGGAGATCTACTAGTGATGAAGGTTACGGCCCGTTCACCATCAGTACCCAACAAACTAGCAACACTCAAACAGAAGTAGAACCTGTTGGAGCAGAAACAGAGCATGCCGAAGTTGAAACTGAAGACGCTGAAGCTGAAACAGAGCATGCCGAAGAAGAAGCAGAGCATGACTCTACACAAGAACTAAGACGATCCACCTGTGAAACTAGACCACCCTCTCATCTTAAAGATTATGTTATGATTGCAGATATGGAATGTGAGATGTTACTCTTCGTGGTTAATGATGAGCCGATCAATTACAAAGAAGCAAGTAAAGACAAGCGATGGAGAGATGCTTGTACAGATGAGATCGCTTCTATCAACAAAAATAAAACATGGAAGCTGATTGAAAAGCCACCTGGAGTGAAAGTCATTGGACTCAGATGGGTGTTCAAAATAAAGAGAAACGCAGACGGTTCAATTAACAAGTTCAAATCTAGACTCGTTGCAAAAGGATACGTCCAAGAACTAGGTGTTGATTTCGAAGAAGCATTCGCCCCGGTTGCTCGGCTAGAGACCATCCGTCTCTTAACTGCCCTAGCAGCTTCGAATCAATGGGAGATACATCATATGGACGTCAAGACAGCGTTTCTACACGGAGAACTCAATGAAGACGTTTATGTTTCTCAGCCTGAGGGATTGAAAAGAAGGGAGAAGAATATAAGGTTTTCAAATTGTCAAAGGCCTTATATGGACTAAGGCAAGCTCCGAGAGCCTGGAACACAAAGTTAGATCAGATTCTGAGGAGACTGAAGTTCAACAAGTGCT